TAAAAGCAGATCAATTAGGTTACATTGGCAGTTTTCTTCCCAAAATCCTACGAGGCATTAATGTTCGGTGGGCCACATCAGATGATTTAATATTAGATAAATGCCACATAGGATAGCCAAAGAAAAGTGCCCATATAATTTAAGTGATCAATTTATTGAAGTTATGATGCTCAAATAATCACTTGAAAAGTAATGGCACCAAAGTGAGCTTCAAATGAAAGTTATGGCACTGTCAGTGTCATTTTCCCATCAGTTGACTATTGAGGGGAAAAACTAGGAATTGGTAGCGGACTAGATTTCAAACTCAAATAAGATGTTGGAGGGTCCATTGAAAATAGAAGCTTAAAGTATTAGGAAAGCCAACGATAATTGTATATTGAAAATCCACTGGCAGAGTTGAGGGATAGGAAAGAAAGTCCAAAGATGGATGCTCATAGGGTAATTATTTCTCATCAAATGCATTTATACGACGAGCAATCTATTGGATCATGGAGGAAAAAATTACTCGTGATAATCTTCCTCTTTTATGTATTCATTTCTTGTATATTATTTGCAGCCTTAAAGATAATAATCTCATACTCATGTTTGGTTAAACTTGCTTCACTTTCGTACAATCTCAGGGTTCCACTTGCTAATGGGGGTTCCCTGGTGATTGAACAAACTGAGGCTTTAGTCTCTATTGATGTGAATGGCGGTCATGGGATGTTTGGACAGGGAAACTCACAAGAAAAGGCAATTCTTGATGTAAACCTTGCAGCAGCTAGACAGGTGCTTTGGATACTAAACTCTTATTGCAAGTCTTCGTGTACATATTGCAAAATGAAATGTTTTCAGTTTTCTTTTGCCTATTCTTCATTACAGTTCTTGCGTAGTATCTTTTTTATCCAAAAGCAAAACAAACTTCTTATATATTATCCTCAAAGAAAATGAAGAGGAAAGATGGGGTGCTTTGAAACGACTTTTTCTAATGCAGTTAAAACGCTTAAAGAACATGCAATTTCACCCGAGTTCTATCTACTTAAACATAGTATGACTATAGAGAAGGATAGAGAGTATAAAACACGATGTAAAGTTGGTTGGCTTGTATTCAGTCCTTTGTTGACCATCAGGAGCTTATGTATTCAAGATTCACGGTTTCGATTTTATCTAGAGATAGCACAAACCTTTGATGCTCGACTTGAATGCAAAGCAATGTCTCGTCATACATCAATAGGAAGCCACAAGGATCAGAATGGTATCTCTCCAATATAGAGCAAATAAAAGTACTAGACAGTGAGACTGATATAGGAGTGGATGTAATGCTAGAGTTAATAAGCATATGAAGTTTTTTCCATCTATAAGTTTGCTTTTCATCTAGATACTAGTTATTCTGAGTAGTTAGTCTCCATTTATGCAATCTTTATTTAGAGGCCAAAGTATGTTAGATGTCAAGGATAGTGGTTTTGGTCAAGACAAATTTATTCAAGATCGCTCTAGATTGGATTTTACCAAAGTACATGTTACACACCAGGACATGCCTCATGGGTCCTGCTCATAAGTATGACACTGTCAAGTAGATACAAGCTAAAATTATTTGGCATTCCTGTTATTGTTCACATGTAGTTCTCTTAACACGACTCATCTTTTCATCTGAGTTGTCATTAGCGTCTGGTCTGTTTAGTACTATAATAACAATTATTATCGTCTTCCTACTGTCGTCATCTTTGTGATCATCATCGTCATCATCTTTTTATCATCATCAGCACAGTAAGATAGTTTTGTTACTATGGTCATGCATATCTAAGCTTTATTCCCAGCTCTGATATCTTAGAGGCATAAGCATGGTTAGTCTAATAATATTTTTCTTTGTCCTGGTTCCTGAATCAACTACTGAAGTCATGGGTGATTATCTAGGCATAATAAAGGGAATGTGTTCTATTTTGGCAAAAGCTAATGCCGTAGCTGTTCTTGGTACGTTTCAGATTGCTAGGGAGTTAAGACTTCGGGATATCGGCGGCATTATTGTGGTAGACTTCATTGATATGGCAGACGAATGTAAGCGATCTCTCTCTCTCTCTCTCTCTCTCTCTCTCTCTCTCTCTCATGCTCACTCAATCGTGCCCCCAATGATGTTTCTGATAGTCCATTCTTTATTTAAATTTAGCTCCATATGCTGAAACTAGCAGAACTTGATTTGCATTTTTTCCTGAATAAGTTAGCTCTAGGAATACCGTGTCTAGCTATAGTTTACTGCGTAGTATATTATAGTACATTAACCCATTGAAACTATTCAAGTCATATTAATGATTTAATTACTGAAAGATGCTTTTTGGTGAGGTGATATATTGAGAGGACAGTATAAAATTCTCCAGAGAAAAAAAATATTGATGTTGCCGCAGATGAAAGTACTCATTTATGTATGGGACTGAATACCAGATTAAAAACAAGCTAATTTTCAATTGCCGACTCAGTGCGCCTGTGTATTATCAGGAGTGAAGATTGGGTCATGTTTAAGGTGCATTCAGTCTGCTGTTTCTGTTGAAAGAGTAATAGTATTTTATTGTTAATGGCTCTTCTCATTGTTTCTTATTGAGAACAATTGCTTCCTTCAGCAAATAAAAGGCTAGTATATGAAGAAGTGAAGAAGGCTGTGGAGAGAGACCGTTCTTTGGTGAAAGTATCTGAATTGTCCAAGCATGGACTCATGGAAATAACCAGAAAGAGGGTAGGTGGCTCTCTTATGCTTGCAATTTTACTAACATGCTTTTGGAAAGAAGTGCTTTGAGTATCTTTGGTACGGTCCTCTTGGTCACAGGGTGATATTTATCATTTGGTTTTTGTGCGTTGCTATCCTACAACATCCATTAGTTGATCATCCAAACAAACGCCACACTTTTATGGTTGCATACGTTGTTGGGGTTCAGCGTCCACAAATTTGTCTTGCTGATGTGTGCATAACGTGGGCAGGTTCGACCTAGTGTCACTTTTATGATAAGTGAGCCATGTACTTCTTGTCATGCTACTGGGAGAGTAGAAGCTCTAGAGACTTCATTCTCAAAGATTGAGCAGGAAATTTGCCGTTTGCTGGTGAGTAACATATCATGCCTCATGTTCATTTCTATATACTTTTGAAGCATGATAAACTAGATATATGTTGTAAGACTCTGCTGCCTGGAAAAAGAAAAGGAACTTACCAAGTTAAGTGCTTCCAGGGCTTCGATATGTTTCAGGGATGGAACTATTTGAGTATATTCAACCCGTATCATGATTTGTGACTGCATCAGATTTTTGACTGGTCATCCTTGCATTTTGATTTTTATTGGTACAGGCTGCCGCGGAGCCAAAAGCTGATCCTGAGGACCCTAAGTCCTGGCCAAGACTTGTGCTAAGGGTTGACAATCACATGTGCAACTACTTGACCTCTGGAAAGAAGACCCGGCTTGCATTTTTGAGCAGTTCTCTTAAAGTTTGGATTCTTCTGAAGGTATGCCCTGTCTTTAAGTGTTCTTTCAACCATAATGCAATCCTGAGTCAAAGGTCGAGAAGATTGTCGTGGCATAACTTCTCTAAATTTCTTTTAGCTGGAACGATAAATCACATCTGCTTGGACTTCCATTAAAAGCAAGCACTTGTCATATGGTTCGCTGAGTAGTCGTTTTGGCAACGAAAAGTTGTCAATGAAATGGGGGAAAAGGAGAAGTTTGAAGATTAACGTACGCCTTTTATTGCTGTAGAGATTTAATGCTTTTACGACCATGTCTTTTTCCTTTTATACACGTGGCCTTTAATTGTCTTGTGATGCTATAAAAGTACAAGAAACAATAGTCTAACCCTTCAACATGATGTTGGCTACTTTGACATGGCCATATCTCTGTCTTTGATATTCATAATTTCAGTTTTATCCATGTATTCAAGATCGTTCACCTTTATCATCCAAAAAATAAATTCGCGGAGGCCTTTTGACTTTAATCACTACCAAAAAGTCACATTCTAAGGAGTGCGCGGAGTCTGTCATTAAGAGTGTCCAAATCATGCAAGGTCGGGTAGAAAATTCCGTGGGTCAACGTGATAACATCAATCCTAAGACTGCAAAAGAAACATTATGTCTGTCTTTTATGACACCTTGACACATGTTAGATACAGATTACATCTATTGTAGGTTGTGAACAGAGCACTTGCATCTCCCCAAAAATATTTGATATGATCATGGAAGCTTATGAAAGATACATGAAAAGAGTTTGCTGGTCATTATCTCTTCTTTCTTTCTTTCTTATTTTTTTAATAATTTTTACGCTAATCAAATGGCTCAGGTTGCTAGAGGTTTCACCCGGGGTGAATTTGAAGTGAAGCCATTCGGCAATGACAACAAGGTGAATAAGAATCAGCATCAGGCTACCATTCCGATTCTACGGTCAAAGGAAAGAAGAGCCAAAGATTCAGGGAAACAGGTGACTATAATTCCAGTGAAGAAATGGAAAACTCGTCGATAGCACTTGCCCGGAGAAATAATTATCTTATGCAGACAGAAGTCGAGCCTTCCCGGGTGCAAAGTGGCAGAGGAAAAAGATCTGCGATTAATTCATTCTTTCGGAGGATACTTTGTGCCGCAAGCCAATGCTTAGAGCAGCCAATGAGATCAACATATTGAATGTTCGAACTCATGGCCATAGGCTATGATGCCGGATGTGGAATGAAGTGCGTTGGTTCATGGAATCGATACGGTGAAAAGGGTCGGAATGATAAGTTAAGAATGTACATATTCTGATTGGAAATTTTTTTAGCAATTTTGCTTGTCAGAGTATTGTATTTTTCACTGGTGCAAAAATAATGTTAATTACCAAAATTTATGAATGAGAATGGCTTCCCCCCGCATCAATTTACATTTGTCATCATTGAAAAAAAAGGAGATTTACGTTTCTGGCTGAAAAATAGGAGAGATGAGTTCCTTTGATACAAAGAATCCAGTGCAAAATAAAAATTCCAATTCTACAAGTACACCAAAAGAAAAAGAAGGGAGGAGATTGCACGATCAATGTCAATTATGAATTGTATTGAACAAAGTAATAGCTAAAACTGAGCAAAGAATTGGAGACATCCCCTTTTTATTCATTACAAAAAGCTAAGCTGACAGACATTAGCTCACGGTTATAGAGATCTTCCTACGCCTGTCCCTCGGGCCTATGCAGCTATGCTAATCGGGGTTTAATGCCTATTACCTAGACCCCATTGTAAGGTACATTGGCACACTGCCAAGCGCCAATCGGCTTTTGAAAACACTAGTACGATATATGGTAGCCATTGCCAAAGAGAAAATCTAGGGATCACTCGGATGAACAAATGGGATTTTATCCAAGTTGCAAACGCGGCCCTCCTCGTGCAGCATATGAAAGAAGCAATTGGAAAGAATCCATCCAGAGCATACCGGACAGTATGAGCTGGCGAGTATATCAACTGACAAAAACCTGAGGATGCGAAAGATTGACTAAGACAACAGCACCCGAGCTCACGACAAATGGAAGATCCTTGAAAGAACCAACACTAGGACAACATAATTGAAGCTAAAACCTTTCAATCTTTAATGCTACCAACTTACTAATGTTAGGTTTTTCAAGATGAAGAAACAGAGATAAACCAAGAAAGCAAAACTTTTCTGAGACTTTTGAAAGAAGTGGGATGGGGAATAGAAGAAGCTAATTTGAAATCAATAAAGCTGGGCGATTATCCGCTACCAAATAGATTGTTATCTTAAGCCCGACTGCCACACAGGTCTACTAGCATGCAATAACCGTAGGAACACCAATTCTCTCGATCTAAAGTGGTAAGTGAGGATATGGAGATGGTACCTCTTATCTACACATAATGCAATAGAAGATCCGAGGAGGAATTCTTTAGTCTACAGCTCTGTCCAAGATGAACGTCCCCAAAAACATACCTGCACCACCATGAACCCGAGACGATGAATATTTGCAAGGACAAAAGAAGAAAGGCATGCTCAATAAGGCATAGCGGTTTAATAAAAAAGACACCTGTATTCGCAATATTTGGACCATGCACACCGAGCTTTCCCATAGTCCCAGTAACAGTCATTGTCCCTCAGAGGTCCACGCTTAGCTGCCAAAATTTTTTTTAGTAAGTGGACATTCCTATGTGCAGCCTTGAGCGTGAACAGTAATTAATAAGACATGCATTCAAAACTGGTCGAGGGAGAGAAAATACCCTTTGTAACAAATTTTGTTTTTGCTTCAGGATGGATATCATGCCACATCTGAAGCCAAACTTCCCTCATTAATACTGGGGACCTCACGATATTCCTGTGATTTGCTACACTAATATAGCGTCAATTTACTATAACTGAATTGCCCAGATAAGATGGCATATACAGTTGACAAAAAATGACTTGCACTGATTTAACGTACATATGTCATGCTTCAACTCTTATACTATATTTATGCATGAAATAGAATATTTCACTGACGAATGAATAAGATCATACTACAGCAGCACTGTACGTACTTTAAAATATTCCGAATAGAAAGTAAATCAAAGGCTAACCCCCCATGATTTAATGATTACATGAAACTCGACGGCATCTTATTTAGCTAGGTAACAGAAAACAGAGTGAATGAATCAGTGAGACCAAAATCCAAGTCTAAAGCTTTGAGAAGGATGATTTGCCAGTTGGGCCAGCCACTGTGCAAGGTGTAGGAACCTCTTTCATGAAGTTCATAACTTATCAATCAAGTGTCATCCAAACTTAACTAGAGCTCATCTATCTTCAAGGAAAGAGAAACATCAAAATTATCATAAAAAGTGGAATCTAATTGGTATGGGCATGTGCTCTACTTCAGCTGCAACTAAACTAAGTGTCCGTGTAATTTAAATCCCAATTTCTAAAGGAAAGGAATATTCTTTTTTCTACAGTGGTTCTTCTTAAAAACTATAATGATAAATTTACTAGAAATAATCATTAATATCATTTCAGTTTTTATTCATTATCATTTTCATGAAAAAGTACCAATTATACGTTCTTCAGGTGGTAGCTGGTGACCGGCCAATAACAAAGTACTAGTTGGTGCAGTGCGCTAGGCATTGAAAAACCCATTCTGAAGCCAGATGTCCTTAGTCAACTCATCTATCAGCCAAACTCAAAAGGTCATATCAGTGTGTGAATCACCTTTATCAAGCTCCCAGACTGCTGTTGTCCTTCCTGGAATGCTTTCACCATCTTCATAATAGGTTATGTATTTGACCCTAGGAGATCTTGTCATGTTTGGAACAATATCTTCATCATAATGATGCTCCACATTCAATTCCACTTGGACATCTGAACCATCATGCTCAGACTGCAAATTCAGAGAGGCACATAAAATTAGCTCTTTGGTAACTACTTTATCATGCTGTAGCATGTGAGGTATGAGAAACTCCAATGTATATTAGTCTAGCCAGGCTACATGATGACTATTCCTGTGAAATTCAACATCATGAGTGTAGATTGTTGAGTCCATGAAATATATCAAACTCCAGAAAAATGGACCACAAACTCAATATTTTACTTCAGTGCCCATCAGGTTCATGCTTACAGAATTTGGAACAATCCAATGCAATTGTAAGCAATGAATATTACTACCATCTGTCAAATTGTTCGATATTCCTTGTTCAAATAAATAATTAGGTTATCTTCATTCTAATCCTCAACATGCACCAAAAGTAGGATCATCTAATAAAATTACCAATTTCATATGGAAACTTGAAAACTACAAACGTGAATTTAGGCCTAATTCCCTAACAAATCTCAAACTTTAGGTACAGTCCAAAATCTGTTTTGAACCTCTTCCTTTGTCTAAAAAAAAACCCCAAACTTTAGATTCAGTCCCAAATCTGCCCCAAGCTTTTTTTTTGTTTAAAAAAAACCGCAACTGTATGTCCAATCCTAAATCTGCCCTTGTTAGCCCTCCGTCCAAAAATCATCATTAATCATCCCTAATTTCCTTAATTTTCACATCAAAGAACCGTTTTGTTTTGAGATAATTTTCTATGTCACCTTATTGATGTGGATTTGTTATGGACGTGGAAATGCCACGTCAAACAACTAATGACAATTTTACGACGGAGGGTTAATGAGGGCAGATTTGAGACTAATTGGAAGTTGGTGATTTTTTTAGACAAAAAAAGTTTCCCTAATATTCCTAATTTTCATATCAAAGAACAATTTCGTTTTAGAGATAATTTTCCACATCACCTTGCTGATGTGGATTTGTTACAGACGTGAAAATAACACGTCAAGCAACTAATGGTGATTTTTGGATGGAGAGTTAATGGGGCATATTAGAGACTAGATTGAAATTTGGTGAATTTTTTTAGATAAAAAAAGTTTGGGCCAGCTTTGGGACTAGAGTAAAAGTTGGTGATTTTTTTTAGACAAAAAAAAGTTTGAGGCAGATTTGGGACTGAACCTAAATTTTAAGATTTTTTTTAGACAAAAAGAAAAGTTCAAGGTAGAATTTTTTTTTTTAATTTTTTGTTCGAACGGGGCAGAATTGGGACTGGACCTGAAGTTGGGTTTTTTTAGACAAAAAAGTTCAGGGCAGAATTGGGACTATACCTAAAGTAGAAGGTTTTTTAAAGGCATTAGGCCCGTGGATTTATGTATGAAAGAAACTAAAAACAGAAATACACCAGTCACTGTCGCTGGTACCTGAGGTGCTCTTGTAATGTTTATTCTGTGACCAAGCCAATTCTTGCACGAAGAGAGAGAATAGTATGATACCTGTGAATCGCTAGATCATTTGCATTAAAAAATGTTTTTTTTTTACTTGATAAAAACTAAGAAAAAGGCTTACCGTCTCATCACCACTTGTAGCTCCTGGATTCCCCTCGACCTGATTCCCCGACCTATTTAAATGGTAAAAAGTGCATCAAAAGCACAAATAAAAGCATTACTAATGAATTCAGGTGTAATAGAGTTGGGCACATCATGCGAATGATACAAATTATTATCCTAGATTTTGGATGTGACTGGTGTGTCAGCATACAATAGTGAAATGTCTCCAACACAGGAATACAAAAGGTATGGATGAAAATAGTGTTATAAGATCTAGTGTTGTACTCTAAGATTTGATTGGGAAAATCCTTAATCGCCCACAAATAACACTAGTTCAAATTAGGCCCTTCAAGGCTTCGTGTAAATCCCTGTTCTCATTTCGTGGTAATAGTTCTGCAACCTATAGAGGACATGCTAAACTTGGATATGATGTTTAGATCTAACTCAAGCGCTTATATTCTTTTTTAACAGCAAGTACTTATATCTTGACAAGTGTCTTCTGGTTAGACTAGGTGACTTTCTTCCAGAGTTATAGATCTATGAGAAGTGAACTTTCTATCAAGCATCAGAATTTATACTGTTAGCAGGGGCCAGGATAAAATTTGAAAGGAAAACCAACAGAAGATTCCTGTGAGAATTGGAACACAGCCACTAGATGCTCTTGAGTAGAATCATCACTAGTCAGAACAATAACACTCACCTTGACAGCAACGATCCTTCAAATTCATAAATGACATCAGTGATGATCCAGTTATCAGGGTAAGGTTTTCCACTTGGTGCAAAATAGTAACCAACCTGAGTACCATTATCAAGATATGTGTTGGCACAAAATCCAAATTAGTATATTAGGAAGCCAATTAACCAAATAAAAATTGTCGGCATGTATGAAACCCATAAACACTGTTTAATCCAATGCATCATAAATCCTTATGTTGAGAATGCTTCATACCTCAGTCTTGGAATCTATCCCATAGATACAAAAGACATTCTTTATAGGTGGCCTCTCCCAAGGTGTAAATGGATTTAAAACAGGATCACCATGATATGACCTGAGACAGCGAGCATCTGAAATTTTATCTAAGGGACAGAAAAATTATAGAAGTTGTTCAGTCACTAAACTTTTAACAAAGCAACCAGTTAAGAGATTCATTTTCAACCTAAAGTTTTTATGTTGGTTATGATGAACCGTATCCCACAATAGATCAATAAAGCGATAGCTAAGAAGTCCATATGCACTTTCAGGGGAATGAAAACAACCCAGAAAGGTAGAACATGAAGGCTGAAGCAACTAATTAACAAATTTATGGCGTGGAAGTTGCATGCTCTTATGTCGAAGTTGAGTCTCTGTCAAGGATCACAACAAGACCAGGGGTTGTATAGGGCAAGCGTCGTATGTCAGGATAGCAATGTACGACCTATACAGAAGCTGCAATGATTGAATGTATAGTGGCATTTACACCTTGAAAGGCAAAAAGTCTTCTCAAAGTGGAAAGGGCATTCCTCTGAGTACACTAAGGAACATTTCAGGTTCTAGAATATAACATGGGACGACCAAGATACTGACTGCATACATGACTACGAAGCGTTTGAAGGGCAACCTTGAGAAAGTAATGTTATAAGGTGAGCAACAAGACAAAGGAACAGAAAGGTTGTTGCTTCTAAATTTAATCATAAAGGGGATATGTATATATTGGAATAGATCGAGGGAACTCAGTCACTTTTATTATATTAAAGCCACGATAGAATGTTTGTTTACACTTAAGCAAAAGTAAAAACTACTTTTTTCGTTTTCTCTCCAAATTCCAAATATTATTCAAATCTCAGAAAATTATGAAAAAATTATATACGAATTACGTGTCGACATTCAAGCGTTATGAAAATTTCATAAGTTTCAGTTTTAAAAAAGAAGTGCATAAGTCACAAGATTTAAATTAAGCAAAAAGCAAAAGGTAAATGTCCATTAGATAGGAGTGTGGCAGATGCATAAACATGTCAAACTTTTCTTTCAATGAATCTAACATAAACGAAAATTTATCCTCGTTGAGTCCAAAAATTCGTCTTCATTGGAGAATAATAGGATACTTACTTTTGCAATTGGTGCAAAAGTCTCTTGCTATCTGGATCATAATCCTCAATTGCTTTGAAGAAGGTCCCATCTGATATTTCCCTGGCTGAAAAGGATAGCTGAGTAGGAAGGCCACATTCCATATTTGACAAATTGACATCGGCAATGTCTGAAACTGATGGGTAGGCATCAACTCCTGCCAAAGAAGAAAAAAAGCATAAGAGCCAGTGCATTTTCACCATACCATTAAAACGAGACTTTCAGCTCGTACCACGGTTGGAGGGAATTTCAATGTTTATTATATTTGTCGGCCATCCAGAATAGTTTGATCGATATTCTTGTTCATCACATTGATAGACATGATGACCTCTGCTGCTTCCCATAGAAAAATGCTTCCAGTATACCTTATCCGTCTGACAATACTTTGAAAATGGCATCATCCACAGAGAAGAAGCAAATGAATTGAACAACAATCTGGCCGTCCCCTGATGCCTTGCACGAGAATGACATAATAAAAATTTAAGATCTATAACAAAAGCTAACACGATTCAAATACATCCAATTGTTCTTGTTTTAAGTTTAGTAAAGCATATGAGCAACTTTGTAAAATAAGATGACACGATATATCTTATAGACATTTCAATTTTGGAAGGTTTAAGAAGCACGGAAATTAATAAGAACTACCAATGCAATACAAGCATTATCATGACTTAAAAATTCCTATTTAAACTTCATGAATTATTACAAGATAATTGGATTAGATTCAACACATATGCATTAGCATATGACCACAAAGTAAAAAGAACCAGAGAAGGGCAAGGGCTGTATCTACCTAAGATGTCATGATACAAAGTGCAGAGAAAATGAATGAGAAGCAACAGGGTTCTTTTTTGAGAAGTAAAAATCCAAATCATGAAGCACTCTACAATTGACGGGAACAAAGATCTAATCTACAGACATGTAGAAAAGAACATCTGGGAATTCAAATAAATATGAGAATATTTCTGTTAAACCTGCGTCACGGAAAGGAATCAATGCTTAATGACCTCGCATTCTATCATTATAGGCTGAACCAAATTAAAAAGGTGTCAAACACACAATAATTAGGACAGAGAGAAGCATATAAAGAAAAAGCTAGCAGGAACTTTTATATGAATACAGAATCACGTAGTTTGTATAACAGTCCTGCCGACTTAAAGAAAAATGAAGGCTGACCTCAGAAATAGGAAGACCGAATGTATATCCAGAAAGTGTTGCCTCAATTGTCTGAGTTGATCCAAGAAGCGGAGCCCCTGCAATGGAGCACAAAAGAAAGCCAAAGATGAATTCTTCTCTGCTTTCAGACTGCTATTTAGACTGATAATTAGCTTTCTGTAAGTTGACCATACCGACAGCGAAATAGGCATGTATGTGTTCATCAAGCCACTGAAGATACTGTTTTGGAGCAATTTCTAGCTTTAACCATTCCAGGAAGTAGCGGAAAACATTATTACCCAAGGAATGTGCAAAAACTAATGAGGGACCTCCACGAAGTTTTAGTGCAGTCTCAAACGTCAGCCTGTCACAGCAACAAAACATTATTTAAGGCATTCTTATGCCTGTAGGTATCTGTCTAGCGTAGCCATAACTGTGCTGGATGTGCCATTGTCCATGCGTTTGACAACCCATTTTAAATAGGCAACGACTCAAAGTGGGGTAAAGCAGCACGATAGAAACAGCTCTGAGCTGTGCAGTTGTGGAGGTGCTGCTGCGACGCATTTGACGAAAACAAAGCAAAAGCAGCAACACCCTTTGCAAAAGCTGTAGCAGCTGTGCAACACCTATACTAAATGCCATCCAAGAGCATTTCTTCCTTGTTGTATTTGCATTTAAAACAGCATTTATACATAATAGCATTGGAGTAATTTAGTATTTACCTAAAAAGAAAAAGGAAAACGAAGAGTTTGCCAAAGCTAGTCAAAATAGTCTTTCGTGATATCATTATAACTGTACATACTTCAGCTTGTGAAAGTAGAGATCTCTCTCCTCAAGCATCGATGGTGACAATCTCCAATCATATGGAACAGCAATGATAGCATTCGCCTCAATACCAAATTCAATGCACCACTTTACCCAGTCCTTCCATACCGACGAAAGAGGACCTATAGAAAAAAAAAAACTTTCACCAAAGCATTCTTTACTACCAAAAGCACGCAACTAACATAATGAGAAAGTAAATAGGCACAAGGATAAGGCATGTTGCCAAAGCACAAAACGAAAGGTCCAGGAAAGCACCTGTGATATAACCAGGATCAAGTTCTGTAATTGCTGAAAGACCACTATCCGGCCGTGATTTACATTCAGGATGATCTGTTTGATTATAAGGGTCTAGAAGCATGCATTTAAGCCAACAGTTTACAGCAGAAAGAAGCTGCAAAAAATGTGTCCAATTAACTTTCAGTTTACCAGCCTTTCCGCACTAGCATATGGAGAATATCCAAATTATAAGGGTTAAGAGGTCAAGAACTTCGGTACAGGATTTAGTTTTGTGTCCAACCATAAATTCATGACGGAAAAGCACCAAGCAAGAACATTAGAATAAACTAACGTATAAATTTAAGAGAACAGGTGTCAGAAAAATAGAATTGCCCAATGCCACTCACACAAGACCAAGTTTGACAAAGAGCTCTAAGTCAGTCAACACTAAGCTTGGACTATAACTATAAATGTGCATATTGATCTTAGAGCTAATCGATTTACATTGATCCTAGAGGAGAAAAGAGACGGATTTCATAAGGAAAGAGAGGAAGCATCACAATCCAACTGGATAAAGCCCTAACAGGAAACTCATTGCAAAGATTCTTTTAACCTGATAACTATGCAGGATCCACAAAGCATTACACCAAGCCTCATGTTAGCTGCTTGGAATATCCTTGGATGCTCATCGCAGCAATTTGCGAATGACTGCATGGACGAGGGGGAAAAGAGGCACAGACAGGGAAGCAAATTTGGCTAGCTTGGCAGGTGACTGAACAGAGTTTGTTAGTCTATGAAGCAAAGAAGACAAGACATCACCCATCAATCAGATGAGTAATGACATCTATTGTTCTCGTTCCAATCACTCCTAAATTGTGTCCACTGCTTTCTCTTCTGCTTCCAATGCCTATCAATCCACGGAACACGATTCACAGGTTTTTCTAAAGAATGCCGTCACGTACTGAACAAAACACGAGTGCTCGATTGACGCATAATAGAAGCCGAACCTCGCTCATTCCGGCTCTGCCGACTCTAACAAGGAGCAAGAGATCAATAGTCTAAGCCAATAAGACAGTCGTCCCAGCCAAACTTGTCACAACAACACCGACACGCACTAAAACAATACTAGGAAACCCTGAGCGAAGGAACAATCAACGAACGGATAGAGCGACACCAAAACGTCGAAAGTTTACACACTCAGAACAAAAACGCTTGAAGTCAGCACATGCACACAAAAAACTCACGAAACAACGAAACTACACAGCAGAATCCGGGCACGCGTGACCTTGGTGGTGTCGAGCCAGACCAAGTCGAGGGGGTTGAAATCGAGCGGCGAGTAAGGGCAGTCGAGGATGGACCAGGCCCGGAGCTGAGCGGAGGCGAACCCCGGGATGATGATCCCGGAGAGCCTCTGCCTCTGCTTCGACCGTATCTCCTCCTCCTCCGTCGACGCGCCCGCGGCGGCGACGACGACCATCGCCAGCAGCAGGACCGAGGCGAGGAAGCGTACCCGAGCCGCCGCGGTCGCCGCCGCGGCCGCCGCCGCTCTCATCCCCTCGCCTCCCGAAGCCGAACCGCGCCGCCGGAGATCGTACGCGGAGGCCGAGGTCGCTCTCGCTCTCCGCTCGCCGCCGCCGCCGCCGCCGGAGAGAGAGAGAGAGAGAGGGGGGGAAGAGGAGTCGTCGGAGTTGGAGTGGTTGGTTGGTTTTCACTGAGAATCACTGGCAGGCGCGGCTTGACTTTTGACTCCTACCCGAATTTTCATTTCTTTCAGTTCGCCGACGCTTCAGGTCGGCGAGTTTCCGGTACGAAAGCTTGGTGCCTTTTCGGTTTTGTGACGTAAGCGAACGACGCCGTTATACATAGATCTTCTTTTAATGATAATGGCACGGACGGTCCATAAACTTTGGGGTGCCTCTGAATTTGATCCAAAAGTATAATGACATCTCACTACTTTTAATTTGTTTAATATCGTCCATGAGTGACCAGAAAAAGGAATGTCGTCTCTGAACTTTGGCTTAATGCGCAATGTCGTCCATAAACTTTTAATTTGTTCAATAGGATCTTTGAGCTATTAATGAATGTTCAATTTAGTCCTTAAACTATGTGAAAATGATAAAACAGAAGGACCACAATCAATAATTATCAATAGTTTAGGGATCATATTGAACAAATAAAAAGTTAAGATATGATATTGCACGTTGGGCCAAACTTCAAGGATCGTATTGAACAAATTAAAAGTCCTTAGACTTTTACATCATTATTCCTTTTCTTTTCACCGTATCAAAATGAAGAAAAAAGGCAACTCGGACAAAATGGCAATTTGATGAATTATCAGTTTGATGAGTAACTCTTCAATGGAAAAGTAAGAAGCTATAAATGATTATGGTTACTACTACGAAAAACCCCAAATTGGTATATCTGTGACAATTTTATCCCGAATTAATTTTTTGACTATCAAAAATCCCAAACTGATATACCTGTGATAAATTTACCCCGACCTATTTTTTTGACAATCAAAAACCCCACACTGATACACTCGTGACAATTTTAACCCGAACTAATTTTTTGACTACAAAAAACTCCAAACTGGTACAGTTGCGACAATTTTACCCTAAACTAATTTTTTGACTGCTAAAAAACTGGTATATTTGTTACAAATTTACCCTCTGCTAGTGTCCGTTAAATTGGATTAATATCACGAAAAATCACAAATTGATAAACTTGTGGTAAAACCCCAAACTGATACACCCGTCAATTACCACATGTCATCAAACTTAGCAATTTGACAGTAAAATTTAACGGAAACTAACGGAGGGTAAATTTATTACAAGTGTACCAGTTTGGGGTTTTTGGTGGTCAAAAAATTAGTTCGGGATAAAATTGTCATAGGTATACCGGTTTGAAATTTTTTGTGATAAAAAAAATAGTTTGCGGTAAATTTATTACATGTGTATCAATTCGGGGTTCTTGGTGGTATTAACCAAAATGATTATTAGTAACCATGCAACACTAATTTGCATATAAGAAGTAATCATGAGTATGTCTTTAGGACCGAAAAAAGATTGACCTTGACTCGTCTCTCCTCGATCCCGCCTTTAGCTGCGATCAGAAGAGAATCCTCAATCGTCGCACGACGATGGAGCCAACAACCCGGAGGAGGAGAGCATCGACGCTCCCCTCGAAAGGGCACCTGACTCGAATCTCTCTGCTCCAAGGACGGCGGACCGCGACGACGAAAATATGAGCATTATGGTTGAGGACGAGAGGGGTCAAAACTCAAAAGAGCATTGACATCAGCTTCGTTTGGTTCTTTTAAATATGCCTAAGGGTGCGTTTGTTTCCCGGAAAATGTAGCGTTTTTGAAAAATGTTTTTCAGCAAATCATTTTCCAGGAAAACGGTTAGTTTTCTTTTATTGGGTAATATATGATCGAAAATGTTTTCTGATGTTTGGATATTATTCGGAAAATGATTTTAATTTCATGACTTTATTTCGGACAAAAAACAATCGAATTTTTTTATTTTTTATTTAAAAAAAATTCGAATTTTATATTATTTTTTATTTTTCTTTTCTTTTTTTAAAAAATCGAATTTTTAATTATTATTAATTTTCTTTTCTTTTTAAAAAAATTGGAATTTTTAACTTTTTTTCTTTTTTCTCTTGTCTTTTTCTTTTTTCTTTTCTTTCCTTTTTTTTTCCTCTTCCTCCGTTGTGATCGGCCGGCGACGGCCATAGGCGAGTTGGAGGCTTGCTTGGAAGCAGCCACAGGTGAGCTCGAGGCTCGTCCGGCGACGGCCACAGGCGAGCTTGAGCTCGCCGGCCTTGCCTAAATCTGGTGAGCCATGAGCTCGTCGACCTCCACTGAGCCTAAGCTTGACTCGCCTGGATTTGGCAAGTCGCGAGCTCGCCGGCCTTGACGGAGCTCGGACTGATGAGATCGCAGCTCGCCGGCCTCGGGAGAGCTCGGGCTCGCCTGGATCCGGTGAGTTGCGAGCTCGCCGTCCTCCGCCAAGCCCGAGCTCAGCTCGCCCGGATCTAGTGAGCCCGAGCTCGCCGGCCTCGACGGAGCTCTGACTGACGAGCTCGCAACTCATCAGCCTTGGCCGAGCTCGGGCTCGCCTGGATCGGTCAAGCCTGTGAGGCCGGCCTGCTCCTGCGGTTGGTTGTTGGCCGTGGTCGAGGCCAGCGACCAGTGGAGGGAGGAAGAAGGAAAAAGAAAAAAGAAAAAAGAAAAGAAAAAAAGAAAAAAAGAAAAAAAAAGAAAGGAAAGAAAAAGAGAAAAAGAAAAAAGAAAAGAAAAATAAAATATTAACAAATTTAAGATAATCAATCCAAAAAGTGTTTTTACCTTTTTAAATTAGGAAATATACTTTCCTAAATTTATATATGAATATTTTTCTTGACCGGAAAGTATTTTCGATTGACCAAATCATTTTTGGACAACCAAACGGATGAAAGTCCGAAAAATACTTTCTTGGAAAATACTTTCACCAAAATAAACGCACCCTAAGTCTGCTCTTATTTCTTTTATGGCTCTTTTAAATAGTTGCCCACTTTGGACAGAATAGTCGATGGGCCTCCTCCTCTGACTTCTCTGTTATGTCAGCTATGTAAGTGTTAGAATATTTAAATGTAAAGTCACCCCTTTATCTAACAGTTTAAACTTTTAGAATTATTAATAGTGATCCCATAAAATCATATTGTAAGCAAGTTGCGAAATCTCATGACCCTCTATTCTTTCGAGTGTAGCTTCTCTTCAGCGTATGGGTCGGAAGAGAGGTCTGCTGCTATGTGCTATTGATCGAGTTCCTGGAAATTGGATTGCTGAACTGCACTGGATCAAGCAGTCTCCTAAAGATGCGATAGGATAAGGTCGTCTGAACTATGGATGTGGCTTTAGCAGAGGCTTGAGCCTTTCCTCTCAGTTTGATGAAGAAATGAACTCAAATTACCCATTTGTCACGTGAAGGCAAGTACAATTCTTTCTTCTTCTCTCTGCAAGATGTAAGCACGACCTAGTAATAAGGAAGAAGAATATCAAAGTCGGCGTCACCAAGACCTAAGTTGAGTATGAAGGCCAACGTTGGTACCTATAAGCAAAAGGACAAAGGATATGAGCCTTATTTAAACAGCACAATCAGTCAAAAAGACAGAAGACCTCGATTGTTTAGCGACAAGACCAATGCTTTGAAAAGAATGGCACAGCATGACAAATGAGTAGTCCCAAACAAAGCATCCTCTGGTTCATCTTTTATAAAGACAGTGTAAAGATGTCTAACTCTTTTAGCCATCCATTGACAAGGATCACAATGGAGTCTTCGTCCAGGTTCCTATTCAGAGATCACCAAGACACGGACAATTCCACGCTCTCCGACGTGAGCACCAGCATCTCTTCAAGCGCACACTGCGACGACGACGACGACGACGATCAGCTGCAGTCCATGACTGCCAAGGTACGCATGCATCTCTGATCTCGTGGCAAAACATTATGGGTTGTTTGAGACTGTATGTAGGTTATATGTTTGAATGATTTTTCTTGATCTTAATTTTTCTTCGATGCTAGGGTATAAAACATCTCCGCTCGGAGCTTATCGAGCTAAAGGCGGCATCCGATGAGGAGTTTCACCAGAACATCTATTCTAATTATTCAACCTTTGTTAGGTAATTTGTTTTCGACTATCTTGCCTGGATGTACTCAACCAAAGAAGCTTTAACAAAGTTCATTTAATTAATCTAGAGTAATAACTTTCTTTCTTTTGTATGTATACATGAGATACCATACGCATGAGATATGCTCTTAAGATAATTCTTGATTATGATCATCCATTATTTCGAGCCTTGTAATCGCAATTGTAGTCGTGCTTAATGTAAAATGTTTTCATTGCGCATGTTGAGAACATGGAATCATCACTTCGCGGATGTAATGTTATTTCGACAAGGTTTGATCTCTTATATCCGTCGTGAACGTTAAATCTACGTTACTTTCTGTACCATCAGATATGCCGTTTGAGAGTTGAAAGATTGCCTCAAATTCAAATTACATAAAGACTTAAACACAAAAAAAGAACCTTAAAAATAACAAGTTACAATAATTGTGGTATCAACTCTTATTCTCATGTAATCGTGGGACAATTAACTAGCTTTGTCTATTGTGCAGGGTATTTGAGGAAGTCGAAGGGATAGAGAGGGAACTGGTTCAATTAAAAGATCATGCTTCAAATCAAAAGAGACTTGTGGAGGAGTTCATGGATGGGTTGGATCTAGAAATGGCAATAGAAGACGCAATGGAGCCAATCCCCATTGAACATGAAGCCGAGGAATCGATCCTATCGAACAATCTACAGGCTCACGTCATCGATGTCCTAGAGACTCTTGACATTCTCTTGATGGAGAATAGAGTCGATGAAGCTGTCGACATTCTCGAATTAGAGGACAGGAATTTCGCGAAGTTGCACGCCCAAGTAAGCTCTTCACCGAACATTGTACACTCTTATAAGTCTATGATCTCTGAGAGGAAAGTCAAGCTCGTGCTTCAGCTAACACAATTGGCTCAGAATCAAAGAATAACTGCGCCGGAACTTCACAAGGCATTAATTGGTCTTCGAACACTTGGCAACAGCAATCTTGCAATCCAGTTGTCGCTTCAATATCACCACTCGCGTATTGCGGCTGGAATGCGCAATCTACGACAATCGAAATCGTTGTTGAATGAAGT